TGATGTTACTCCTTGCTTCCAAAGTAATTCTTACTGGCTGCTTGACAGAGACCAAGTGTTGAGGATTTGAAGAGAAAATGTCATCCCAGCCTGTTATTAACAACGCTGCCATGTGGGGATTAGATTTTGAATCATATCTCTAGCTGGGCGGGACTAGAAGGCAGCAGAAACAGTGGGTCCCTGGGAGGGAAGGAACAGCTCCTGGTGCTTTCCAGTGACCCACTCTGGTGGACATACACAATGACAAGGACTGGTTGCTGAAATGGCTGATGCGAACGTCTCAAAACCATCTCACTGTTACCTTGAGCTGTTCTGCTCTGGTGGTTTTTCCCCCCTTCACCTGTTGTCTCTTATCTTAGACTTAGATTGTAGCATTTTTGGAGCAGTGACTGACTTTTCATAATGTGTGTGTACAGCATCTAACACAGCGGGGTCCTGAGCCCAGACTGGCACCCCTTAGCACTACGTAATACAAATAAATTTGTGTTCACCATCGACTGCAGCCCTCCCACATGCAGTACAGTTTCCCTGTCACCATTTGTATCATTACTGTGAGGAGATCTGCAACATAACAGTGAGACTAACCCCCTTCCAGCATATTATTATTGCTAGGATAACTTATTGCCATTCTGTCCTGACAAACGACATTTTAACAGAGAGGCTCTTGCCCCCAGGACTGTGGGGTTGGACTTGCCAATTTCACCCCGACGCCTTCCCTTTTTGTGCACGTCTATGAACTAGGCATGAATTTTCATCTCTGAACCCAATTTGCATATTTCACACCAAGTGACCTCCTCCTGCTGCTCTGAGCTGTTATAAATGCTCCGAGGCTTCTTGATCAGCATCAGACCAGTCAGATGTATCAAGATGATCTCTCGAGCTCAGCTCATCTGGCTGTTAGTGCTCTGGGTCCAGGGTAAGGATCAAAAGGAATTTGATGAAGTACAATGATCTACTGAAAATTTTAGAAGATCTAGAAATGGTGTATTTTGACCCATAAATTATATCTACAATCAAAGTCTATTCAGATAGTAAAAAGCAATAGAGGGTCCTGTGGCACCTTTAAGACTAACAGAAGTATTGGAGCATAA